CTCGCAGCTGCTCTCAGATCTCATTTCTGGCGACTGTAGTTGAGGTTTAACTAAGTGGATCCACCGAGTCTTTAACTTTCCCGATGCGGAATTAGTTCTTGTCGGATTCCACGGATTCCGTGGAGTGTCACCTTGCCAAGGATTCAGCGGTTGCCTTTGGTTGGCATTTTCTATCCTCTGCCTCATGGGGCATCTTTCTCACCTTGGCAATTGAGCCACGACAGCGAACTCAGGAACCGAGTCAGTATGCTGGCCAGAAATTTGTAAAATTTGGGTCTGAGGTCCACGGGCCCGCGGAATATCATCAATATTTGCATGACATTCAAAAGACGACGTAGGTATCCGCTCCCGATACCAAGATTTACAACACGCACACCTTGGTCGTCATTAGGTATGTACCTAGGTACCTCATGCCAAGTAAAAAAAAAGTGTAGATAAAGCACGTGACCAAAGCTGACGTCTGTCTACTTGGGACCAGGGTAGTACACTCTCATTCCCCGGCATGCATTACCCTCTTTCTTCTGAGAAGCTAATGACCACTAGGTCCCTATTCATGGATTGCAGAAGTTTATAACCCCACATTAATGAGTGATACCTTGAGTAGGGAGACAATTGATCAGAGGCGGCGTCGCCGGGTGTTGGTCCCCAAGGCGGTACGTGTTCCCATCTCACAAGAACAAGTTCCTGTGACTGACAGATAGCCTCTTCGCTTGTAGTGTGAAGGGTGCCGAATACGCAAGGTAGATCCAATCTTCATCGTACCCGATATGAAGACGTTGCTAAAGGGGCCAGATTCGATGCAACCGCATCACACCCTGTTCAAATTGCCAGATAGCAGGTATTGTGTGCCAGAACGCAAAGGAGAACAGATGCCCAGTGGCCCCAGCCCCAAGGAGGACAGCCAATCAGCAGAACTCCTACGATGGCACTATCTCGCCAGCAGAACCCGCACTCGCATCATCTTGGCAGCAACATAATGAGCTTGTCCTAGATAACAGTCGGCCTGTGGAAAGGCCATCCTCCTGGGAAGAACAAAGTCCCTTTTGTCCAGAGAACACGCCAACGTTGTATGAAGGCGGCTCTTCCTTCGTCAACCAGTCTACTGAAGCGAGTGATATCGCTACAAGGACAGCCGACTCGGACGACCTGGGCGAAGGACCAGGGCTCGGACCGTCCTTGAACTCCCTGAAGAGCCTTCTGAATCCGTGTGTCAATTCGCCGTCTGCTGGAGACTTTCACTTTTTTCATGGTCTCGCTCCACCGGCAAGGCCATCCGTGCCGCTGATACCGGCTGATCTTGTGCTCGCCGTTTTACGAAGGATCAAAAGTATGTAACCACTCCTGTTATGGAGACACGACTGATCTCTGCAGCGCACAAACTACCCCACCTTCAAGCCACTCTATGCGACTCCTCGTTGGTTGAGCGGCTTTGTCAAAAGGTCTATTTCCCGGTTGAACCAGTCTCTCTTGGCCATGTGACGAGCATGCACGGACTCCTCTTCTATGTGCTCCAAGACTGTATAGTGATGCGGGACCCACTGGGCGAGATATACGATCTTCCAGGAAGCTCTACTCAATGCGCCCGGAATTTCAGCGCAGGGATCGAAACTTACGAGCTCTTGGCCATCCCGAGTTTTGAGAGTATCTTGGCCCTGACAATAGCGGTACGTTGCATTGTCTCTAGATCTTTTCGAAAGTCGACATCAGTGTCTACCTACTAATGGTTTGCCACTGTAGATCATGAAAGCGCAGGATGATGCAAAGCCATGGCTATGCTCGACGTTTCTCTCGGCGGCTGCGAGACACTGCCAAGTACTGGGCTACCACCGAGAGACGACATACCAAAACGATAACACTGGAAATAGAGAAAACATGCGCCGACTCTTCTGGTCTATATACATGTTCGACAAGAACATGTCACTCTACTTCGGGAGAGCTTCCAATATCCAAGATTTCGAGATAGACACCGGATACCCTGCTATTTCCACCGATCCCGGCGCGCAGCTCTGGGACCAAGCTACCGTCATCAGTATCCAGCTCGCCAGACTCCAGGGCCAAATCTATGACAGGTTATATTCGCCATCGGCGCAAAAGGCATCTCATTCCGAGCGAGAACGCCGTATCGACGATCTAGCTTCTCAACTGGAGGAGTGGCATATCGAAACAAGAAAGGTACGTTTTTAGTACCACTTCCCACGCTGCGTAGGTCTAGAGGAGACTCGGATTGACTGACTTAGTTCTGCAGTTCAAAGCCTCGCTCCAAGGACAGAGCCAAGTGTATGATCTGACACTAGCAAACTGGGACATTACATACTACTCCAGTTTAACCACAGTCTTGCGCGCGCCGTCCTTGCCCTCTGCAGGAACAGTCATCAATCCCAGATGTTTGAAGGTAGCACGCCTCGGACTTCAGACCCATCTGCGTTATTCTCCCGAGTTCCAACGGTCAGATTTACTAACAGCGACAGACTATGCGAACTGGTGAGTCTGCCGCGGCTCCATTGGCTATGGGAGGGGGGCCTTTCTCGAAATCATTCAGAGAGCTAAACCAATGCCTCGTTAGGATCCTCCTGTTTTCGACATTTGCGCCGTTCATTGCGGTTTTTCTCCACGCTGTCGTCGCGGCCAGCTTCGAGGATGTTCTCCTGCTCGATCAAGTTGTCGACTCGTTGAAGCCCACTCGAGCCGCTTCTCACCGCACGGAGCGCCTTTATCAAGTCTGCTCGACGTTCGCAAAACTGGCCCGAGACATTGTCGAGAGGACACAAGGGAGAAGAAGTGATATCGAAGGACGCGCACGACAGGAGTCTGTGTGGCCGGCAGACTCCCCGACGCAGGCTCCATCAGATCGACATCAAAGCCTGGACGACATCTTCGAGTACGGCATGATGGGAGACATTGGAGGCGCAATCAATTCTGGGAATCTGTCAGATATTTTGAACAGCTGTCTCGGTGGAGGACAGTCTTGGGCTGCTGATCTTTTCGAGACGGGCCCTTAGCAAAAGTAGCTTCACGATTTTGGGCTCACTAATTCTCGAAGTTCGCCTTTTCGCCTTCTTGCTGTTCAAAGTCAAGTATCTGCACGCTACAGCTACGAAGAGTTAAGTACAGCTCGCGGATGGATCAACGCACACGCGCGGTTGGTACATAATGCTGCTGGTATCCTGCCAAGACAGCAAGCCTTGTTTTGGTGATTCCGAACCACTTGTTGGGAATTTTCAACGGGAAAACCCATCGGCGAACTCCTTGAAGATGACTATCTTCAAACCTATCAAACCAATTGGACCCCTGCCAGGCCTAAGCCTGCCAGAAACTGAATTCCACGAGGATCAATTCCAGCATATTCAAAGGATCCCGATCCACCTGGATTGGCCGTCCAGCTGCTTTCCTGGCTGATGCCGCGATACGGTGTAGGAAGCAATTCGCGATTAAGGTTGGAGCGAATGGGTCTAGCATCATCTCCGATTCCCATGCAGTGGGCGAAGACGACTGGACCCAGGCACGCGATTGATTGATGAAAGATCCCGTGTCTGGATCTGGGGAGGCAGGAGGGCCTTCGCTCTCAATAGAGTCGGAAGTATGGCTGTACTGTGCACCCAGGCCCTGGGTATCAGCTGTGCCTAAAGATGGGCCTTGTAAAGAGGTAAATGTGCTTGGGCGTCGTAAATGGCGTTGGTGTTCCATAGTTTGAACATTAGATCTGTGGAGCACGTTGGCCTCACCAGATATATTTTCAGCAGCTTGTCGATGCTGTCGGTCAATGATTATCATGAAAAGATTCCGTATCCATAGTGTTGGGGCGTAGCACTGCTCAAACTGTCGTAATGCCAGGGGATTGGGATGCAATCTCTGACAGAGTTTGTGTACCAGTCTTCGAGGACAGCCTGAACCTGTCGTCTTGCTTCTTGTCGGACCAAGGGATCGTGACTCACGTGCAATTGACGAAGGGAGCAGTGGTAGAAGAACATGTTCGAAGCTGCTTTGTTCAGGGAAACCTGAGCAATCATGTATCTTGCAGTTTCTGGCGATTCATCAAGGAAATCCGCCAACGTTAAATCCTCGACATCGAAATCAAGATCATTTATAACCTTGGGTCGGCCGGAATTTCTGGATCTGAGGCGTCCTTTGCCGTTGGAGCTGCATTTTCAAGCTTCGAATGCGAGTTTGATGAACCTGTATCTTCATCTAGGATGGAATGCGTATGCCGGGACTCGTCTTGCTTTGGGACAGTGTACCGACCATCTAGCCCTCTGCCAAAGTATAAGGAGATAAGCCACAAACGGCCACAACATGGTATGGAGAGCCCTCACCTCGAGCGCTTGGACTGGAGAATTTTGCACACCGTCGACCTGCCCTTGCATTCCGAGCACGACACGCCATTCACAGAGGCATCGCAGCGGATTTTCCTCTTGTTACATACTTCACAAGCAGAAGCTCTCTGTTTTCGGAACGTTGTCGTGCCGACTGATGTAGGTGGAACAACGGCATCCACAGGGTCTTCCATAGTAACAAATTGACTGGCAAAGGTCGGGAATGTGTGAAAAGTGGGAGATATTTTGGCGCGGCCGACCTTCAACGAGGGCAGGAGCACTGATGAACGTGTGACTGACGGGGTTGCCAAGCTAAATACCGAGTATAATGACGGTCACGCTAGTAACCCCTCCGTTAATTACTGAAAGGTATATGGTAAGATGGAGATACTATCGGGTATCACTTTCACGGCTGTAACACCTAGGCTTCGGCACCGGCTATCCGTAGACAGTGTCTTAACACCGTCAGCCGAAACCTCTCTGCACAACACGAACCAGCCAACTGGTTGCGTCTGGTCGCTCCTCGTTCTATGGAGCCGTATTTCGTATTACCCTAACTTACCTCGGCCCATGGTGTTGCACATGTTGATTATACTACCACGGTGAGTTGAAATTGAACATGTATTCTTCACCGGCCTTACTTGTCGACCACTCTGTTTGGTTCCTGTTGGTTCTATAGTTACTGCAAACATGGCTTTGGATGTTCCTAAGCCACTCCTCCTCCTGCTGGGGGCCACCATACAGGCCATTGTATTCAGGTCAATTTGGTCTCACCCATTTTCGCAACATAGTTTAATGAGCATATTCGCTGCATTTATGGCGTTGGACGTCTTCGCGTTCAGCCTCCACATCGTTTTTATATATCCAAACTTCCTCAGCCCCATTCGCCACCTTCCTACTCCAAAGGTGAGCCGCCAGGCTCCATGATAGTACTTTTTGCGCGCGAACTGAAGGCGTGGAAACCTAGGGAGCCGTTCCAATCCTTGGTCACTTCCTCACTGGATTGAAAGCTACCCGGGGAGAAGAGTACTTGAAGTACAGCCTGGAAACTCCGAATGAAGGGCTCATTCGTCTCCGAGGCCTATTCAACTCGGACCAAATTCTGGTGACGAGCCCCAAAGCACTGGCTGAGATTTTGGTCAATAAGCCTTATGACTACCCTAAACCGGAGAGGAGTAGGGAGTTTCTACGCACGGGTCTCGGGGACGGGCTCGTCGTCGCCGAGGGCGAATACCACAAATTCCAGCGAAAATACGCCACACCAAGTTTCAGCTTCCGCCACGTAAAAGACCTCTATCCCCTATTCTGGGACAAGGCTCTGAAGATGACAAAAGCTATTGAAGATGAAATCTTCGGGCCGCAAGGGACTGTGACAAACATCGAAGGAAAGCTCGTTGGTATCACAGATATCGAGCGATGGGTACCACGAGCTACCCTGGACATTATAGGTATCGCGGGGGTAGGTCGAGACTTCAATACATTGGAAAACTCTGACGATAAAATGGCCACACTATACGCGACTTTGTTTACGCCCACACTGGGAACACGCATGGTCGCTGCATCCATCCTGGTATTCGGTCATCGATGGACGAAGGTCCTCCTGCCGTCAGCTTCTCGTACAATTTACAATGCAGTTAGTGCAATACGATCTCTTTGCGGTAACTTTGTGCGCGAGAAAAGGGAGCGCATCAAACAAGGAGACGACGAATCAGTCGATGTCCTCGCATCTCTGATCAAAGCGGACGTCTTCTCGGACCATGAACTGGTTGATGAGCTTTTGACCATCCTCGCTGCTGGGTAAGTCATGCCATGCCCCTGTTGTCGTCGTCACAAGCATCAGCAAGTGTCTGACATGATTGACAGCCACGAAACCACCTCGTCGACCTTTACATGGATCACTTACTTCCTCAGTCGTCATCCGGACATTCAGTCGCGACTTCGCGCAGAAGTCCATGACGCATTACCTATCGGCTTTGCCCCTGGCAAAAGCCCCCATTCCGATGTTTGTGCAATTCTCGAGTCTCTGCCTCTGCTGAACGGCGTCTGTCAAGAGACACTCCGCCTGTTTCCACCCGTGCCGGTTACGTTGCGTCAAAATAAGAAAGATAACACGCTCCTTGGCCAGCCCATCGCTGCACACACATTACTTACGTTGGCACCCTGGGCGACCAACAACTCTCCAGAGCTATGGGGTCCCGATGCCCACGAATTCAAACCAGAGAGGTGGATAGATCCGGAAACCGGGAAACCAAATCAGACCGGTGGCGCCTCGACCAATTACGCCTTCATGACATTTCTGCACGGGCCCCGTAACTGCATCGGCCAGCAGTTTGCAAGGGCCGAGTTGAGAGCGCTGTTGGCTGCCTTTATCTGCATGTATGAATGGACACGGGCCGAGCCAGAGGAGGAAGTAATCCCTGCGATAGTGATCACAGTGAAGCCGAAAGACGGCTTACGTCTGAAACTAACCAAAGTTAGAGACTGGTGACCGTGTGCTGCTGGATGAGTGGCTACTGGAGGTGCGTGATCCGACCAGAAGACTATTGGTTTCCTTTATACAGAATGAACCACAACGTGTGCAGAGCGTGTCAGGGAGGGGATCCACGTGTGCTCAAAACTGTTCACTCACCCACACTCTAATCGAAATATGTAGTAGGCTTTTTCAGTATAATATAATGATGACGGTTGCCATTGTGCCTTTCAGCTATATCTCACCACCTTGAGTCTACCTCGGAGCTTCTCGAAAATCTCGAGTATCCCCGCCGCCTTTTTGCGATCCATCCTTCTGCGAGGAAATTATCCGCGCGATTCAGAGACTGGTCCATAACGCCTGGTGCATAATATGGTGCTTGGTGTGCAACCATGACTCATACGTTGCCTGCACAATCAGCTTCCTACAACTTTCCAATGGTTTGGTCAGCGATACCGAGGTCACAAAGATCAAGCCGGGAGCCTTTTTTACCCCGTAAAGCGGTTTTGATCCGATTCTCGACGATTGTGTTATTCTATCTCGGTCGAATTTTACCAGGCCAAACTCTGGACGGATGCACAGCTCACCGGCAGTGCTGGAGCACAAGCAAGATGGACATTGAAGGGTTCAGCACGTGCACGGCGCTGACTTGGCTAGAAGCTCTTGAGTCACAACGTCTGGAAAGCTGGGAACTTCAGTTGCATGAAGCTCAGTCTAAGGAAATCTTGGTAATCCTTCACCTAGATTTCCTTGTTGTGTATGTCCGCGCTCGTCCATAGCCGCCGGCCGGCATTCCAATGCTTCTCTAGCCTTGCCAAGCCGGTAGAATTAGAGGGCCCACTTTCATTTGACCTATAGATTAACGGCGGCATTTATACCGCATTTGGACAAGTCCTTCAGTCACCCTAGTACTGAATTTCGTGGATCTCCCTAGATTTTGCCAGCACCATGACAGATTGGGGGGCCTTCATGACCTTCCAAGCTCGAAATGTGAAAGTGTTTTAGTAGTTTGGGGGACGGCTCAAGACGGTAGAGAAAAGAGCGCTGAGCCGGCCTAGGACGACAGAGTCAAGAGAAGGCCGATTCTGAAGTATTTATGGTCAACCTGGTAGGACCCATTACTCTAGCGTCTGTATAGAAACAAGTCCTCTAAGATAATTATCTTTCAGACTTTATTTTCGCTCGTTCTGACACTCCACGCCCCTTGCACTGGCTACCTGATTCCCAAAATGGGCTCTTGGAACTACCTCTTTGAGGTGCCCCCCGGAGAGGTAGTCTCCGTCAAGATAATCGACACGACCTCGCGAATTGGGAACTCCTCAGTCGACTTTTTGATGAGACCCCCAATGGAGGGATTTCCAACAATGCCGATACATCCATCGTGGTCTTTTCTGATCGAGCATCCATCGGGCAGCCGGATCCTATTCGACCTCGGTATTTCCGTCGATTGGAGAGAGTATGCACCGACTGTTTCCAACAGGATAAGCACCAACGGATGGCAAATTACCTCGACGCGCGGAGTGGCTGCTATTATCGAAGACGCTGGCATTCCTCGCGAATCTATCAACGCCATTATCTGGAGGTTCGTATCATTTCAATCTGCTCATGTCCTCGGTCAATCATAGGAAAAGGTGCCTTGGTACTGATCGGGGCTCCCAGTCATCACCATTGGGACCATGTGGGCGACCCGTCTACTTTTCCACCCAGCACCGATCTCGTGGTTGGGCCAGGGTTTGTGAAAGAATATCTGCCAGGATGGCCGTCTAATCAGAATTCGCTCCTGCGAGACACCGATTTCGAGTATGTTCTCTCTCGGCATTCTGCTCCTGCGCACAGTTGGCAACAGACGCTAATATTTCCTAAAGGGGTCGAAAAGTGAGAGAGATTGACTTCAACGACGGCTTGCTCCTGGGACAGCTCAAAGCGCATGACTTCTTTGGGGACGGCTCCTTCTATCTCCTCGATACACCAGGCCATTCAGTTGGCCACCTCGGAGGGCTTGCGCGCACCACCAAAGCCCCGGACACTTTCATCTTCATGGGCGGCGACTTGTGCCACCATGGCGGCGAAATTAGACCTTCCAAGTACAACCCACTCCCAGGAGTAATGGCCGTCGAAAGTCTGCTGGAAGTTCCCAGGCAAGTATGTCCCGGCGCTCTCTTGGAAGAACTTCAGAAAAACAGGTTCAGAAAGATAAACCAGCCATTCTTCGACCCCAACCTGGGAACTGATATTTCAGAGGCTATCCGCACCATCTCAAAGGTGCAAGAGGCAGACGCAAATGACCACGTCCTTTTCATTTACGCACATGATACAGGCCTCCTTGGAGGAATGGTTGATCTGTTCCCTCTTCCTGCTAACGACTGGAAAAAGAAGGGGTGGCGCGAGAAGCTCTTTTGGCATTTTCTCCAGGACTTCACCTCGTCCTTGAAGCTCATTGCTCAAGATAAGGACCAAGTTAGAGGATCGTGATTGTGGCCACTTTGAAAAGAACATGACGCCATAAGCCTGAGAATATAAGCGAAGATGGGTTGAAGTCGCCGTGTCAAAGCCAGAGCCGGGCGTTGTCCGTCGGGGAAAGAGTCGTACATCAATTCAATTACCCGTGAAAATGTAAATACCCCAAGCCTCTCAGCGAGGAGTCCACTTCAGACAACTATCCACTGTGGCTCTCCAACAGCAGTTAAACGAGCGTCCAGAGCTCTTGAGCCTACCAAGCTGAAGAGACAGTTCGGCATTACCTTCGATGACGGGCCTTTAACCGATATATCTGACATTTAGCCGATTGTCAAATCATAAGCATTACCTCAACATGCTTCACAAGAGCTTGGGCATCCACTTTGACGACATTGTATCCCTACCAGAGACAAAGCTCCAATCACAAGGAGGGGGAGCAAATTGCCGCTCGGACGCCATTGGTGGGCCGGTAAGACCGCGAAAGAAGGCGGGATTGTATACCAAGTTTGTGAGCCTCGGTAAATGAGAGTTGCATACCACAAAAGTCGCAATTGATTACATGCCTGGTGCAACCATGTGTGTCAATGGGCTTCTCCGATACCCGAGTTCTTATGGCGAGATGCGTTGGGGGAAGTTCGAGGCTGGCGTGCTACGTCTCCGAGAAGACGTGGTTGCTTCTCCTAGGCGAAGGTGAAGAAATGAAGGGGTGAGTCTGTCTGACCTCCTGAATCTGTAACACAAATAGTGACTGCGGAGTATTGTTGGCATGATTTTGACAGATCACGGAAGACATGGATCTTGACATCAGTAAATGGGCTGTAATCCGCATGCGCACGCATACTAGATGAAAACAAAACAGAATTTTCTCGTAGTTGCGTGGGCTGCAACAATACGACTTTAAGGAGATGCAGCAATAGATTTTCCACTCATCCCATGTCACACCCATCAAACGAATGGCAGACTATCCAACCGCCTTCATGTACCTCAAATACCATCCTTACTCTGGGGCATTATGATTTCCGCAGCACAGAGTGGTACCAAGTTCTTCTTTCTGCCCCTCGCAGTGGACGCTTGTGAACGACCAAACTGATCTCCCAAGGTGAAAGAGGTTCAAATCGTGTACCTAAACGACTCAAGCCCCTCGATGACCAGACTACCGGCGTCAGCCTTTCGATTGCAGTGACGGAAGTACAATGTCAGGATCGCGACAACGGCAACGTTCAGACAATTGAACCTAGAAGAAACGTCAGAGGTGTGGAGGCAAAGATGACAGGAGGCGATACTCACGCAAATGATGTCCAGATGCCAGGGCGATAGGTAGGCGCATCTTGCGCCCTGTATGCCACACTCGAGATTATGCCGCCGATCCCTCCCGCCGCAATCAAGCTGGCGCTGGAAAACGCCCTCTTCCATTGTCCACGAATGTTGTTAGCTTGGTAAGCCACGGCGCATGGTGTATTTGAATTCGACCCTGCGGTGACAAGGAAGACGCCAAAATAGCGAACACCACTAAGTTTTGCCAGACTCATGATTGGGAGACCAATAATGCAAGCCAAGCAGTTGAAAACGATGATCGGTCCTCGGACTCGATATCGGTCACCAACCCACGCGGTCATATACATCCAGAATGCTGTAAAGGCGTATGGGGGAGCAACTAGACACTGCGCAGCGGCAGTGCTGAAACCCATCCCGTCTTTGAGGATAATGGGCAAGAAATACAAGATCGAGTAGTTGACCACGTTTGTGACCCTTTTTTGATTGGAAGTCAGTCGGGGAAAACATGCCCAGTGGACGGATGGAACCACTTACAAAAAAATCATTGCAAATGCCCAGATCTTTAAATCCTTGCCACACGCAAGATACTTTGTGAGATTGAAGGGCTCAGGGGTCACATCTTCACGATCCTTGTTGATCCGCCAGATGACATGCATACTCTCTCGATCAGTCAAAAAATTCCACGACTTGGCGGCCATGTCAGGGAAATCAACAAGGAAAATGTAGCTGAGCAAAGCAATCACGCTTGTGATCTGGAGACATGGTCAATACATGGGATGACACTTAAAAAAAAAGGAGGGGGAGGGAAAGGGAGGCCAGGGGACGTTTCCTACCAGACCCTCGACGATCAATATCCAACGCCAGCCTCGCAGGCCCCCAGCTCCCCCGATTTGCATCAGGCCATAGGCGAGGATACCGCCAGCCGCAGAGGACAAGCATCCAAAAATGTAAAACACAGCCACTCTTTGTTGAATCTCATCTGCGGGACTGTGTAAGCGGCCACTCAGGATGTCTGTATCAGCAGGAAGACGGGTCGTTGAAACTCACATCGGCAATACCAGCACGTAAGGAGATAGACGGCTCCGGGGAAATATCCCGCTTCCAGGGCCCCCAAGATGACTCGACAACCGGCCAGTTGGTCCCATTCCTTCACGAAGCCCATACCCTGTTTCGAAAGTGAGCGGACTTGGAAAATGGCCGATTGCTTGCGGACACACCACTAGTAATCCTGCCCAGAGAAGGGTGATTGTGGACAGAAACAAACGAGCACCCACTTTCCGAGTCAAAAGTGTCATTGGTGCCTGGAAAAGGACATATGGAATGAAGAACACCAGGAGGATAATGCTCTGCGAACATCAGACGTAGCCTAGATTTGTAACGCGCTGGTATCCTCACGTAGCGGTTGTTCCCTTCGAGGCCAAGATCCGTAGTCATGCTGGAGATTCTGTAAGCAAGAATACTTCCCATCAAGGGTTATTCCACACTCACCCTGCGATAGAGGCAGCAGAGAGGTTGCCTCGATCCATAAGGCACATGCAGTATCCCAGGCCAGTAATGGTGACCAAGCGCCTATCGATCTTCCATAGAAGCTTCTTTTCCTCGGCGGCATCAATATGCACTGGGCTTTCATCGGGAATGGTCCGTGAGCCATCATTCGAGTCCTCAAGGTGATCGAGCTCAGAGAAAGGAGTTTTGGTTTGTTCGAGCGTCATGGCTGTATGGTCGAGGAATTGCAAAACACAATGCTGAAGGGGGTTGTGAGTGTAGCAGTGTCAGTCAGGAGATCCCAGAAGGGCCTCTCTAAATAGTCCCGGCACCTCCAGATCACCCACTTAATTAGCCGCAGTACCCCATGGGCAACATAGTTACAATGGGGGAGATCGTCCCGTCCCAACGTTACCGGCTGATTTTGCGGAGAAGTGCTCTATTTATTTCGCCGACTGCCGAACTCCCAATCATCTTCGCCAAGCCCGTTGTAGAAGCTTATTGATTTTCGGGATCTCCTTGGATTGGACCATGAAAAGTCTGAGGCACGGAAAGCTCTACAACCCGCCTAAATCCGACATATACTCGACTGGATGGCGTCTTGTCCAATAGGGACCGCACGGTACCGACTGCAGGGGATTTGTATACGTTGCGCATGATTATGCAGGCAGTGCAAAGTGCCACGCGGCGAATCTCATCTAGACTATGTTGTATACTGAAACTACCCGAATAGGGTATATTAGAGAATGCCTCGGGACCAACCGCACAACCGCAGGTTTGCGTATGTACTGTACTTGGCAGGATCTAATTGGCTAGCCCCTCAAACCCAACTTCCACACTCTCGAGTCTCCGATATCTACTCGCTTTGCTGTTGCTCAATGGCATTGAAGCGTAAGTTTCGTTTAGCAAACTCAATGGCCAAACCTTTTGTTGCCTGTACCAGAATGATTAATAAGTCCTCACTCAAGACGCACACATTCGCAATGTGAGCTGAGGGACATACTGCATTGACTGCCCCTTTACTCGCTGCATTACCAGACCAGGTTTGGCCTCGGCCTCAGCCCACTCATGCTGGAGATGTTGATGAAGGTCCTTGGTCTCTGGTGTTTTTGTGAAGTATGGCACCACCACCTTGGTAGTCCATAGCAACTGCTTGACATTGATTGTCAGGATCCGATCGTACTCAGCCTCGCTTATATCGGTAGATGGCTGTGCTTTGTGAAGAATGCCGGCATTGTTTACAACGACGTCCAGCACTCCAAACGCTCTAGTTCCACCAATTCGCCGTTGGGCCTACCTCGAAAGTTTCTGCGTCGTGACTTGCCACCGTCTTTCTCGCCGTCTTCGGGAGGCCTTCTGTACCGAAAGAATTGATGTTCAAGCCTCGGTCTGAGACATTTGCCATATTCCGCCGGATAGACTCAGAGACTGTAGGAATAAAGATCGAAAGAAGTCGTGGGCCGGCAAAAATAATGCCAGCCAATCCCCATGTAGCTAGCTAATCAGTGATGATCTGACGAGCCATTTTCCTTAGTACGGCCTTTCCACTGGGAGTCCTCAGGATCAGCAAATAGCAGCAGACGAGCTCTGTAAATGAAGGTCTCTCCGGCGACCTCAACATTTGCGACCTTCCAGACCTACGTGAAACAAAGTTTTAGTCTGCTTTGCGTCTCGCGAGCACGTTCCCACACACCGAGATGATGGGTTCAACAACAACTACCACCAGACCGGAAGCCGAAAACGTCGCATATCGAGGCGAACCATTGCCAAATGTCTCGGACGACCTTGTTGTTCTCAATACGCTAAAACTCGACTGCGACGAGAACTTGTGGGTACCACAGACAAAGAATGTTTGGTTTCCGCCCTTTGCTTTTCAATGTCAGTCAGGGATACTTTGTCAATCTACTTCGAGTTCGGAAGAGCGGGATCCTGTCGCGACACCGACACTCCGGGCCCCTGTATGCCACCACGCTTCGAGGACGGTGGCACTATCTCGAACACGACTGGTGGGCGGAGGAAGGCAGCTTTGCGTTCGAAACCACCGGGAGACATCCATACTCTCGAGGTGCCAAATGGTGTAAAAGAAAATGATCACATTGTTTCACGTTACCGGCGCGTACATCTACGTTGACCCGGATGGAGTGCCACAGGGTGTCGAAGACGTGTTCAGCAAGCTACAACTGGCGAAGGAACACTACAAGAGGGTAAGCTTGGGGGAGAACTTCGTCGACCAATTTATTTGTAAATTTTAGGGTATTCAATGGAGGGTCGACAGAATGAGTTGATAGTCCGGAATGCCAGAGGAGGAGGGAGGGGGTGGGGGGGGAAAGAAGGGAAATGATCAATCTAATACTATCTGACCTTCGCAGTTTTGTCACATTCCCTTTATCTGTGCTTCGTGACCACAAAGGAGAAAAAGAGTGGAAAGCGAACAAGCCGGTTGACGCTAAAGCCTGATGGTCTTTGCTATATTACCAGCAGATTCTGCTCCATTGTGAGAAATTGTCAAATGAGAGTCCTATGGAGTTCTAAGTTATACAGGACTGTAAACGCCGCCCGTGCAAGAAAGAGGTGGTCAGGTGCCGTGGTGCTCAATCAGAGTCTCGAAAGATTGGACCTGCTGGCAGGTGACACATTTCCCCAGACCAATTCCTCTATTTTCCTTTGAGATGCCTGCACTCCCTCTCCAAGCACCACTTCCTCGCTTCTCCAATCTGTATTGAAAGTGAGCTTGTTGAGTGGATTCATCTCGTGGGCCTGCTTGAACAGGCGGTTGTAGACGTCGCCATCATAACTGCCCAGAGCACTTTGGAGGAGATAATCCGGAATTTTCCATGCATCAACGAGGCTGACCGCATGTGGTCGTAACTTGGCCATGATGTAGGCGACCTCATCCTTTAACCTGGCCATTTCGTCAACGGTAATCAATCCTGATGCCAAAAACTCGGTTGGCCGGGTCAGGATTGTTTTCAGAGAGAAGAGCTTGAACATCAGCCGCATCACATCCCAGGTCTTATCTGACAAAGGAGGCCCCGATCGGGTTTGGAGCGCTGTGAAATAATTGCGCACCAGCAACATTTCCGAGTGAATAATGCTAAGCTCGTGGAGCTCAACCATGAGACTTGTCCAGCCGCGGCCGTTTTCCACCTTTGCCTGGTACACTTGATGTCCTACCACACAAGCTCGGAGTTCAAATACCCTCACAATTGCGGCGTCGTCGTCGTCGCCGCCTAGAAGTTTGAGGGGTGCTTTTGCTCGGCCAGACAGATATTCTTGATACATCTGCTGCGTAGCATCGCACTGTGCGGAAGGCTGTCTCTTGGCTCTCTCCATGGCCTTGATCAGGTAGCTTGCAGTCTGTTGGGTGATCATATAGTTGTCGCCCTCAACGGTGGGTTTCGACAAATAATCACTGTTTAGTGGAATCATGCCGCTGCCTCCACCGAAACCATGTCCTCCAAGAGCGCGGCGACTGGTTTCTATGCCGTCTGCTGCGAGCATGGTGCAAAGAGCCTTAAGACCGGAGGACAACGCGTGGGTCTCCGCCAACGCTGAGAAGTCATTGCGACTGATGGTCTCCTGGTTGCTTTCGTATAAGGTCCTCATCGCTAGTCCGGTGTAGTGCAAGGCAAAGGTCGTCGCCAGAAGGGGGAACAGTCGCATTTGAACCGTTGGGTAGTCCAGGACGACTAGCTCTGGCGCCGAGGGGTTGGACTCATCTCGATCTTTGAACTGTCTCCGTATCGAGGTGTAACGGATCGCGATGGTGACGGCGCGAGCTAGGATAAGTCTGGCATGCTCCACAATGTCCGCCCTGATTGCGGTCATGGTCCCATAGACCACTTGTTGGACTTGTGGCTTAGTATACGTGCCAGTATTAGGGTCGACCTGCGTATACTTTGATAATAGAGCACTGTGAGGCACTCGATGGTGCTGGAAAAGCATGTAGCCGTTGTCCATAGTAGCATAGCCGTACTTGGGGCCAATGTCACCAATGACGATACCGTCCAGAGGCTGATGAGTCTTCATGTCGCGTATCTGAACAATGAACTGGTGTGGCCCGTAGCTCTTGAATCCAGCGCCTGAGGGTAGTAGCAATTGCGCCACGACTACCGCATGGTTTGCAGTTCTCCCCAAAGAGCCATTCCACCACTTCGAGGCCGTCAGTGTTGGACTGTGAATGACGAAGGTCTTGGTCTGTTGGTCCCATCTTGCTTCACACTCTAGACCTTTGACATTGCTGCCATGCCCTAGCTCTGTTTGCGCATAGCAGCCGAGGACGTCAAATGAATTGATCTTTGGAAGCCAACATGCACGCTGTTGCTCGTTACACTGCTGCTGCATGGACTTTAGGAACATGGTCGAGTTCAGTGCGAAAGGGCTCATTTCATCGACTAGGTACTCGGCCATTTCCACGTCGAGCCTATCCCATTTGTGTTCGGCAACCAAGCGGCGAATCTGTTTAGCTCGCGCAAGTGCTAGATAGTAACGGTCCGGTCGAGCGAGATTGAGTTGGTTTTGTTTGATAAAGATCGAGTGCTTACTGAGGACGTCGAGTATTTTCTTTTGTCGTTCGAGGAATCCATTTTTAGCCAGCAAGTGTTGTGCCAGCTGCTCCGAATTTATGCCAGACCGCATTCGCTCTTGACTGAGCATAGTCGGTCCATCTGGTTGGGCAGGGCGAAGGCTTGCAGTGAAATCTCTCATGTTGGAAGATTCAGTGGGGCTTCCGCTGGTATTGGGAGTAGCAGATTAGATGATGAGGCGTGTTTACAAAGGGTGAGAGAAGCCCAAGGTAACAGCAGCACCAGAGGGGATCTTTGTATCGCTCATGACAAGGAGAGGGCATGGCTAAAGAGATACAGCCGGAGCGGCATTCGGGCCTTGTATCACTCTACCCGTTCACCCTACCTGTGGGACCTGGTGCCGTGTCGGTAGAAGAGTTATACACCCGATCAATAGCCGTCGCGACAACCCGTGCCAGCTTCACTATGTATATTTAGCCACCGTTGGTGGTCTGATAGAAGAGCTTCCGCGCAATGCTTCTCAACCATGAGCTCGAACGACGCCGGCCAAGCTTGCCTGCCGGTGAATCTGGAACTTCCTGGCAGTTTGCTCTTCATTCAGCTTCTGAATCATGCCACCCAGGCTGTTGCCACACCCTTGATCAAAGATCTCACGGAGGGTATTCAGCGATCCGCCATCCAGCTCCTCTCAGACGTGGTCCACTTGCGACAAGTGATTCGTGCCGCTCTACCGCCTGCAGCTCTACAGCAGCTTCAAGATGGCCTACCACTGTATCTCACCATTGTCGCCCCCGGCGGATACCAATTTGTCGTCGCGTTCCTGGCCGTTCTTAGCCTTGGAGCAGTTGCCAGCCCTATCAGTCATCTCTGCCCTCTGAAAGAAGCCTGCTACTATGTCCAAAAGGCCGGGTCCCGAGCAGTTATCGCGGCGACCACGTCACTCAAACAAGCTCAGGCTCTTGCCCATGAGACTTCCAAAACCACAGACCCAAGTTTCACATGTATCCCAGTCCAGCAGGGCTTGGGATTGCAGGAGTTCCACTGGTCTCAATTCACGGTCGAGAATCGTTTTCGCGACCCAAATGCGCCCGGGCTTGTGATATTCACTTCCGGTACGACGGGTCCTCCGAAGGCTGCTGTCATCCGTGTTGGCTCTCTGGATCAAGGGACGATTACACTGGCAGATCAACTCAAGGTTACGAGGTCTGATTCCATGCTTCACGTTCTTCCTGTCCACCATGCCACGGGGATCTGGATCTCTCTGCTTCCTTTCCTGCTGCGAGGCGCTTGCGTGCATTTTAAGTCTGGCACTTTCGATTCTCAGTGGACATGGGATTACTTCAAGCAGCGCAAAGTTACCCATTTCTCTGGCGTCCCAACCATTTACATGCGGATGATGCATCACTATCAAGCCTGTCTAGCCAAGCTACCAGGGGGAGAACGGGACCAGTATACGGCCAGTACCGCTCAGATGAAAGCCTGTCTTTGTGGCACTTCCGCCTTACCGAGGCCGGTTGAGGAATTCTGGATGTCCATGCTCGGCGGTAAGCGTATCGTCCAACGGTACGGTTCAACCGAGGCCGGCATGGTGTTGACTATGCCCTGTGATCCTCTAGAGCAACGTGAAATACCTCTTGGATCTGTCGGGTATGCAGCACCGGGTGTCGATGTCAAACTCTCAGAAGGAACGACTGGAGAGATCCGAGTGAAGTCCTACAACGCATTCCTAGGGTTTCTGAATGACCCTGAGTCGACGGCCAAAGCACACGACTCGGACGGCTACTACGTCTCGGGAGATCTTGCCCAAAGGTGTGGCAACTACTTTTCCATCCTCGGGCGCGCGTCTGTCGACATCCTCAAGTCGGGTGGGTACAAGGTATCCGCCCTCGACATCGAGCGAGAAATATTGTCTCTCCCATACATCAAGGAAGTGTCCGTCGTCGGGGTACCTGATGATGAATTTGGTCAAAGAATTGGCGCCGTGGTGCAAATGCGAAGTGACCAGGGCATCGAGAATCTGAAACTTGATGACTTGAGGGCCGATCTGCGCAAGAACTTGGCCGGATACAAGCTTCCAACCCTGCTCAGGGTCATCGAGACCGAGTTGCCCAAGAGCGTGACCAACAAGGTCGTCAAGAAAACGCTGGGCCCGCTCTACTTCCCTGAAAATTATCGCTCCATCCCCGAGGTCCAGGTGTGGAAGCATACAAGCAAGTTATAAGACTTGCCAACCTATTTCAAGCATGTTGGATTGATAACAAAGGAGGTTTTCTGGACGGCGCCATCCTAACAAGCACCAGCGTCCACCCATTTTAGACTTCCGCTAGATACTACACAATTAGAGCATCTGTTCCACATCATAAGATTGTTCCAACCAGACACCGTCGAAAAGATCCTGATATTGCATGCTGACGTCGTTCGGGACCAGGATGTCGGAGAATAGATTAGGAGGGTCATACTTTAACAAGATGTTGAACATGGCGCTTGTATGGGCAGAAGCGCCTGGAAAATAGTCGAGGTAGCTCACGCCGTCCCATTCCACTAGATAGTCTAGTTGACAGTCGTCAGGTTCTGCTCGCGTTGGAGGTGGATGAGTGTCTGGGCGGCCTTTGGCGGTTGACATGAAGGAATCGCTGCCCGTCAAACTTTCGAATCCGGCGACAAACATCTTTGACGAGTGCCAGTGATTTGCCATCTCCTTCAACGCTGTGAATAAGATTTCCAGGTGTTGTTCTGCGTGCTCTTTGAGACACTCAACACGACGAGCATGGAGGAGAGCCAAGATGGCAATCGCAATCGACCAACCCGCCACGCCTTGCAGAAACCTGAGGGTCCCACGGGCCAGGAAATCCTCAAATATACGTGCAACACATGAAGCGGCGAGGATTCCAGCTGTGTATGCCTTGGGTAACGGTTGGGTCAACCGTTTCATGTAGAGAAGAGTGATGACCGAAAGATAAGGCAAGAAGAGCTGATTCACCTCGCGGTCAAAAGCGCCAGCGTTCGGTTGGAACGGAGGCACCATGCTCTGGGGCAACGAAGTTACCCAGGCTACAAGGTCTTTACTGATGTCTCCTGGGACCGGTTGCCAGTCGGTTCGGGAATTGAGATGTCGAGCCACCCGGCCAACAATCTCACAAAGTCGGACCCAGTGAATAAATATTTCCCCTTGCCGTGATTTTCCGGCCGGAAAATCTTCCAGCGTCAGTGGACGGACGTTGCAATCACTGGGATTGATAGAATAGGGTCGACCCTGACAGATTGATGTAAGACGTTCACGAGCCTGTCCACACCGGTGAGTTAACCAAGTTCCAAGAAGGGAGAGAGGTACGCATACAAATAACGTCCACCAAATGCGGCGTCGAAGTCCTGCTGTTTCTCCAGGCCTCAACACCTGGTCTTTAGAAGGATCTCGGTGCAATCCGATTTCTTGGGCGAGCTTCACCGCGATCCCAGTCCACCAGAACTGGGAGTCCATGCTGACGATGTTTGGGGGTCCGGCACTCCACCAGTACATCAACATAACGGCTGTTATGCGAGAAAGAGGATCGCGCTCATAATTGCCATAGAAAAGAGACTTGGCATTCTCATAGTACTTGGCCGGTGTTTCGTGCTTCAGGAGGGGTGGATTAATCTGACTGCCCAGCAGTGCCAATGCCTGTTTAAGAAGCGAGGAGCTTTCCAATCCAGGATCCTTGAAAATATCTTCTCTTTCTAAGATTGGGCACCACGTGTAGCAGAATTCCAAGTAGGTGTCCATAAAGCTGAATAACAGATGCCTCGATGGTGAAGGCGCGGTTGGCTCGGGCTTTGCAGAGTCCGAAGGATTATCCCCTTCGGGGTTCTGATTCTGGACATGAGTAAAGATGGATAAGAAACCAGACTTTCCCAAATAACTTGTCTCGCCATGTGGATAGGTCTCTCGATCAATGGACTTCGTTTCATCCGTCATACTTTGAATGCGGAACCTGGATGCTTCGCCGTCTCCCTTCCTTGCAGTGTAGGCCAGCATGAGCTCATCTCGAGTCTCAGAAAGTGCACTTCGGTTTTGGCTATTATTTCCAGACGGCGATGTGTTTGAGGCTGAGAAAGCAACCGGGCTCTCTGAGCTGACACTAACAGGTATCGAAGAGGCTGTATGGAGTGGCGCACTCTGCCGAGCGTGCTCCGACCGCCGTGAACCCATCGGTACGCCACGACGTCTCGCGGTTCTCAGTCTGCGCAGTTAATTACGTCGACTGACGATCGAAGACTGTGCACTTACACGCAGGGGGAGCCAGATGCGCGGCAATAGCTACATTGAAAATCGCCCTTGTCACTGAATTGCACATCGCACTTTACCTGGGACAGGGTTTAATGTCATCGACAGAGCATAATAGATTGAGGAGCGACAAACCTTCCTGTCGTGGCATCGAACGCACACCTGAGTGGCTCTTTTATATCGTCTTTCTGCTAAGAAAGTAGAATTGCCGACTCGCATCCTAGAGGAAGGATCTGAGCCAAGAGATAGCCGTCGCTCCACGCTGTGCCGTAATGGTAGCCTCGAGGAATCTGAGCTGTACAGAGAGAATTTAGAGACAAAGACAGGAGTCCTGGAGTAAGTCTGATGTCTAGAAGTCGTGTTAGGGTGTAGCAGATGACTTTGTTTCTGCGCTAGGCACTCGGCGTTCGGGGCATTGATTGGTCAATACCACCCGCTCACCTCGCAGCAGATGTGACGAGCTTCAGTTCTTCCGTTTTACAACTCGGGGGGTCTCTCCTGCCACGTTTGACAATACCGAGAGAGGATCCGTGGCTTTCCAACGAGTTAACAGTGGTGTAGGACGTGGACAGTGACAGTGGCTGGGATCATGTCCTATGCTATGGCTTAGCTTCGGCGAGTACATACCAGCCTCCTGCCGTTAGAAATCACCTCGGCGAAATTTTGGGCCCTGCTGGTAAGAATGCTGGCATGCTATTGCCTTTGCCTGCGGGCTTTGCCTTTTCCCCTCGTCTAGAACGATCTCAAAGTTGGGGAGTCGGCCCAATAGTCCTTTCTGCACGGGTAGGCATACTCAGGTTTCGGCATACTCAGGTTTCGCGGCATCATTCACAATGCCCTCAGAACCAAACTAACCGTTCTGTTTCTCAGGTTACAAGATACGAGGCTAAGGTTCGGCTGTTTGGGAGCCCGTTTGGTTTTCCTGTGGAAGATCGGATCTTTCAGAGTCTCCAAACGTCATTTGTCAATCCGAGATCATTGTTTGGACGATTGACTCACTTGTCGGAATCGGAGGACATTATCAGGATTGACTGTGGAACTAGGCAGGGGGAGCATTTGGCCATGTAGCCCGCGCTTTGACGAAGCAGATCACGATCTCCGTTGAACATGACTTTACAGGCTTGCCTTTAAAGCTTGCTTCAGATGGCCGGAAATAACTGTCCCAACGTATCCCTCACAGTCAGACCGTTGGTCACAGTTCAACGTTTGCTGCTCAACAACATCGCACCATGGGAAGCACAGCAAGGGTCGGTGCCGTGGTGGATGGCAACAGAGGCATGAATAGCTCACCGAAACTTGAGGACAGTTCAGCTTTTGCTGCCTTTATACGGAGAACCGACGGCGACGACGACGACGACGACGACGACGACGACGACTTCTTCCAATGCCTGCCTTGGTGTCGTGGATTATTGGCCGACAAAGACTTCGAGGTGCTCAAGCTTCCACTGAGATGTCCTAAGACAACGTCAACAAGGCATGCCCTCTTCTCTCGGACGCTCAAGACCTGCGACACTATTGGACACTTTCTGGCGCAAGATAGACGAAAGAAAGGCACGCTTTCATATATGGACGAAATTATGAGCAGCACAGTAGATCCGAACCGCAGTTGGCCGCCGAGCTTCGAATACGGTTTCTAAGACCAGTACCAACTCCTAGCGTGGTGGTAATTCGTTCCTGGATTCGGCGCGAGGAGGGGAGAAAGTTCCAAGTCGAGTCGGACGTCACGGACGGAAGAGGTGATCAGCTCGCCACGGGGGGAGGGCATTTTGGTACTCACAAGACGGCAAACGACAAAGCTGTAACGGCGGCTTGCCATTGAACCAAGGGTATTGGAGCGTATCGGATGTCCAGCCTTGCCGCTGTAAGACATTGCGAGACGTTGCTTCTACATTGAACGTGGATCATCCAGAGTCTGCAGTAGATTGGTCCGTGAGCTTTGGAATCTCCATGCTTTCAGCATCCACCCTCAGTGCTTATCCCCATTCAACAGTTGAAGGATTTGTTACGCCTTGAGAGGGATGGAAAGGGGCCCGCACGTCTTCTCGGCCACCAGAGCACATGAGAGCGGCGGTTTTGATAGTCTCCTAAATACAAAGAGTTTTAAGGCGGGCTGACTGCCACATAATTTGGCCCAATTGTCTCAGACTCCGAAATCCACCTAATTAGCCGATCCGCGATGCCCGGTAATCCGGCAGTGAAGCAAGTTCTTAGCCGTCGCGTTACTCCCGTGGTCCCTTCCCGCCCCCCCCCCCCCCCAACAAACTAGGAGTTCTCCCCCTCTCCTGTCAAACAAACCAGAGAGCAGACGCAAGTATGGCTGCAATAGACCTTAAGGGGAAGGGGGCAATTGTCACCGGTGGCGGCTCAGGTAAAGTAAATGTCTGGCTTGAGAGAGTTGAGGCCATCCAGCTGAGAAGTCACTGTAGGGATTTGCCTGTCATTAGTCCGCCAGCTGTACGCCGCCGGGTGCAACGTCTTGATTTGCGATCTATCCCTTCATCGTGAGGCAATCGCATGGCTCGACACAATCCAGAAGGATGCAACAACTTCGTGGAAGAGAGAGTCGCGCGGCCCCAGTGTCGCATTCCGCAAGATCGATGTGTCCCAGTGGAACGAGCTTGAAATGGCCTTCCAGTACTATGCTGAGATTTTCGGCGGTGTCCCCGATATTCTCTGTCCGGGCGCAGGAGTCTACGAGCCGTCGTTCAATAACTTTTGGAACGACCGAGACGACACCCATTACTCAATGCTACGCATCAACCTTGAACATCCCTTGAAAATGTCGCGGATTGCGATCCGCAAGTGGGTCCAAGCAGCACAGCCGGGGTATATCGTCCTTGTGTCGAGCACTGGAGCCCAGAAACCAAGCATGCTGACTCCGCTATACGGAGCGGCGAAGCAAGGAATCAGTAATTTTGCCAGGTGCATGGCAAGGCTTCAAGAAATGGAAAACATCCGCGTGGTCGCTATTGCCCCTGGACCAACCATGTCGCCGATGATATACGATCACGCTGAGGCTCTCAGGTTCGTTGATCCGCAGAAGGATAAGCTATCGGAGCCAGACGAGATGGGTCGCGGGATGATGGCGGTCTGCTTCGACAAGGACAAGTTCCCCCCCGGAACGGTACTTGAGGTAACGCATCCAGATCGTTGGAGGGAAGTCTTCCTTCTTAACGATCCCGGCCCAGGTGCCCATGCGTATACTAGCAGGAAAGAGGAAGGGATGGCTGATGTACATGCAGCGCTCGAGGCTGATAGGTCAGGACACAAGTGAGTCACATACGTCCTCCACCTTAGAAATGTCCATCATCGGGATGGAAATTGCCATGAAAGAAGCTGCTGTTCACCACCATGAGTCCCCCATAAGTTCTCGGTATCTCATCTTGGATGAAAAGGAGGGAAAATAGAGTATGAATACATAGAGACGTCTCAATCACAAGCGTAAGCTGCATCTATGTGAGTGACTATAGCTCAATTCATGGACTCGCGTGACAAAAAAAAGGGGGCGCCTGTGCGAAGAGAGTCAATTGATTGGGGTAATAAGATTGCGCGGACGCTGAATTCTGCTCCTCCAAATCTGTCTATATTTCAAAGTCAATGGGGATCTCGGGGCCAATTTCTCTTTTCGAAACTTCGGTGTATCGTCAGAAAAATCCATTGAATCCCAAAGATTCAGTTTAATAATAGAGATAAGCCGCCTCAGGATGCTCTAAGAACCATGTATCATCGCCGCCATCCATCTCTCTCGTTGAAAAGCCGTTGCCCAAGTAAGAAAATCTGTTATTTGTCCAGTAGGTATAGTCAAAGTCTTCGAATTTCGGCCTCTCAAGCGAATGGAACCAGTGTATCCTGCTGCCGGGATGTATGGCTAGGATAGGCCCATCCACAGTTCCGTTCTTGAACCACGATCGGCATTTAGCCGCCCAGGCTGTACGAGGCATGAAGTGATGGATATGCGTAAGGAAATCATCACAGGCCGCCTGTTTGACGTCGTATGCCTTGATATTCTCTGTCTGTGCCTTTGTAATGAGCTGCATCACGTATTTGGAACATTGCTCGGTAATCGTAAGAATACTGCCGTGCGAAATAGGCGCATTAGGGCCAAGGAAGACTGCAAGATCAGTAATCACCTCAACAGTAGCTGAGCAAAAGGGAAAGACTCACCAAAATAGTTCGGAAACTTTGGAATCGCCATGGACAGATAAGCGAACGGGATGTTTTTGGACCAGACATCACTGAGACTGATCTTGTCTCGTCCGATGACAGGGAAGCGTGGAGAAAAGGACACATCGAACCCAGTTGCACACACAATAGCGTCCAACTCGATATGCTCTCCGTCTGACATCACGAGGCCAGTTTGGTCAACTCTCGAGATGGAGGCGTCGGTGATAATTCGAACATTCTCTTTGGTGAAACTTTCCAGATATCCGACCCCTGGGGTAATCCTTCGGCAGCCGACCGGGAACGAAGGGATGATTTTCTCGGCATACTTGCGGGCACCCTCTGGCCCAAGGAGGGATATCATGCTATCGTATGCTGCCTGTCGAACTTCCGCCGCTTTTGCGCTCCCATTGATCAGCATCTGGAACTTGCTGTTGATCTCTCGTTCAACCTGTTTCCTAAATGCCAGATATGATTCAGGTTCATTGCGGAAGTGTTCTTTCTGTTCCTCGGTAAAGACGTCGGGCATAGAACCTCCTCGAAGGGATGGATACCTGGACGCCGCTCCCGGCGTCACCCATGTTGGTGAGCGAATGATATGAACGAGCTGTTTGACTGTCTTTTGCATCTCTGGGACAATCTGGATGCCGGTTGACCCATTTCCAATGACGGCAACCTTGAGATTACTGTAATCCCAGTCGCTTGGCCAGTTCGCGCTATGCACTAGCTTTCCTTGGTAGTCATGAAGACCAGGAATAGAAGGCCATTTCCAATTGTTCAAAATGCCACTGGCATTGATTAAGTAGTGACACCAGTCGGTAAAAATCAACTGGTTGGCTGTGTCCTCAATCTTCACATTCCAGATGCCACGCTCTTCATTCCATTCGGCGCAAATGACTTTGTGGCGTAGATGAATGTATTTGGCAAGGTCGTACTTATCGACGCAGTGTTGAAGGTAATCCTTAATCTCCTGTGCCGGGGAAAATACCTCAGCCCAGTTGGGATTGGGTTCCCATGAAAATTGGTAGTTGTGCGAGGCTAAGCATTATAGTGAGCATTCGTTTCAACGAACAGACAAGGGATTCCACTTACGGATATCGCATTTGCAACCCGGATAGCGATTCTCGTACCACGTGCCGCCGACGGCTGAGTTTTTCTCATAGATATTCAATGTCGAATTCTGCATGTTTTTTGTAAATTGGTAGGCAAGATTGATACCACTAGCTCCGGCACCAATACTAATGACACGGACTGGACGGATTGTGCCCAAGGGTTCCTCAGAAACCGTGTAGTCCTCTGATATGGTCAAGTGCGGCAACTCCTGGTCAGGATCAGCGGCAGTAGTTTGTTGGTTTGAGTTTGTCTCCTCTGGTAGATGCACCAATGCAACGCCCGTCTTGTGTCCAATGCCGCCATCTACCACCAATGGCTTGGCGGAGACGTTACACTCCATGAGTCGAGCACTGCCTGGTTCGGCCTCGAATACAATGGAAGGCGTCATGCAGGGCACGTGCCTTTCAAAGAATGAAGCAAAGTACTCGGTAGACACAAGAGATCTAAGTCGATCAAGAGCCTTCGTCAAAGGTTTTTTGGAGGCAAATCGAAGGACGTACGCTACCAAGGCGTTGGTATTTATCCAGACGTTTGCTGGCATTTGTTTGATGGCAACCCCATGTCCCCAACGGCAAAATCGCGTCCCCAAGTGCAATTCACAGGGAGTACCACATTACCTCCCACGGTAATGGAGACGAGGAAGAATATACGGTAGTTCGGTAACCCGGCAAACGATATCCCGGTAAGGACAAAGTTGGGGTGAAGGTGGCAGTCACTGGACAATACTCGGCCCGGCATCCTCTCGGAGGCATTGATGTGACTCTGCGTGGTTTTTGGCCTTTTCAGAGAGCGCCTTGAACTGCGACTGATTCGACTTCAGGTATGGACGCGAGAGCAGAATTTGACTGATCCTTCAGTCTATGGCAACATGGAGATGATTGGAACACCTGTTCGGTGGGAAAAAGACACTAGGAGCTTCGGGCGTGATTGAGGCTATATATTTAGTCTCTAGTCTTAGCTATATTAGCTCTACTACTTTGATAACACCATTTAGTGGGATTTTCACAAGGCATGTCTTCAGGTATAAAGTACTTAAAATTAATTTACTAAAATATACAATTATGCAAATATTATTAAATGAATAACTTTTAAAATCACACAACAGAAAGCGCCGGAGTCTGGATTTCACGATGGCTCTAAATAGGCCTGAAACGGCCACAGGGGATGGATATAGTAGACAGTCTACTCAGTAAGGATTCTGACAATGTATATAGCAGGGAATCTCAAGGGCTGGGCTTACGACAGTCCCATGAATTCATGGCCCTCCGTATACAGCCTGGAACTACACACAGTACAGCCGCATGGCCTGACAAGCACTCCCCAAACACTGCTCAGAGCTCCTTCTAATCGAGGTGGACGCTGC